CTCCCCTCAGATTAACAGGTTAATTATTTCTGTTTTCCTCCCAGGTCAGAAAGCGGTATTTGTAATCAAAGTTATTCTTGCAGCCTTGTCAACCACAGATGTTCCTCTTCTGTATTCAGTAAGCACTTGCAGTTGTGTTCAGAATCTGTCCAGCTGCACAGTGCAAGTGCTACCCATCAAGGACAGACACCACATCTAGCACAGACACCTATTAAAGCACGCTGCAGCTTTAACTGTCAGCTGCTGGTGACCTCTGCCTTGAGCTGCTACAAGCAACAATTAAAGTAATTTCTATTGAAAAATAATCAGCAAGTCCTCACTTGTAATTTAAATTTCACTTGTTGTTTACATTTTGAATTTCGCTTGGGTGTTATAAAGCATGCAGTAGCCTCACTAATGACATCAGCAGGCTTTTTTGCAAGTATCTGTTAATTTTCTTTATGACCTGGTATCAACTGGTTACACCTCCTATATTATTAGCACTGCATGTGTAATTAAAACCTTAATCAAAAAATAGTACCATCTCTGGTACATAAAAATGAGTGAAGCAATGATCTATTTAACCCACTACTGTTTCTCTTAACAGCACCAAAATTAGTCAATCATAAAAGATTATAAGCACACAGTGGTTCTTCCTGTCCTCTGCTGGCCTCCAATTTAGCAGCCTTCTGGCACATAGGTGATGTGCCTCAAGTGGTTAAAAGCACATAGTACAAATACCTTCTATAAACTTTCCTCATTGCTTTTTGTAACTATATGCATACCTAGTCTTCAACAGTGCACAGTGGCAGGGTTCTGGATTTTACAGTGTTGGGTACCTCCTTTTTCTTTAACCATGCACCTAATAAAACTGACATCCTTGATTTCTCGTATTATTGCTTCCTTTTGCATCATCACTTGAAGCTCTGAAAGCATGTGACAGCAAAAATGGGAGAGAGGGAGGCTTCCTTGCTCTTTTTTTGGAATGACACTTAGACTTCTATGTACAAAGCACTCTGAGCCGCAGGTCAAGAGCCCATACCCATCTTCACCACCTCCGTATTTGCAAAGGCCCTGACGGGCAGGAGACTCGGGACGCCTCACAGCCCTGAAGGATGAGAACCCTGCCTACGCAGTACAACACACACTCTGGCCTACAAAAGGCAGGTCTCTGAGGACAACGCTGTCCGTGCATTCCCTCCAGCTGCGGCGGGAACGGTTCCAACCGAAGGTCGGGAGACACCAGGCTCGTGGCTGAGCCTCCTGCCCTGCCCAGCCCAACACGCAGCTCCAGGAGGAACAACACCGATGTCACCTCCGCGCACGGACGCAGGGGAGCAGAAGGCAGGCCCAGACTGATGAGGAACAAAGCCCCCCGGAGCCACAGCGCCTGCAGATGCTTAACCCTCCACGTCCCCAGCCA